CCAGACAGGAAACATTCAACCTGGAGACAAGGACTTGGGGAACTCTGCAGATCACTGAGCATCAAATACCTTGAGGGGGGAAACTCACTCACTCACGGAACCCCTCCCAAGTCAGAAAGCAAGGGCGACAGTCCGGACTGAGAAGCACCACTGCTTAACGGATGGAAGAGAGTTCCTCTGAAAGAGCAGGGCAGGAGCTCACAGAAGCCAGGAAAGTGCCTTCAAGTCAAAGAGGTGGGCAGCAGGAAAAAGGTGCCATCACAGCCTGTGTGTGGGGGGAGGGGGCGGTGGAGAAGGGTGGGAGGACAAGAGGGAACTTTGGGAGACTTGCTTAAGTCAGGTGACGGTGCAGGAGACCACTGTTTAGTTGGGGTGAAGGGACATGAGGGGGTGGCGACAGACAGTAGTTGGAACAGTGACACAGGGTGTGTGTCCACGCCAGGAAAGAGCAGGGCAGAGCTCACTGGGCATGAGGGGCAGAAAGTGCCTGGGGGTGAGACTAGAGACCTGAACACAGGTACGGATGGGGCGGCTAGAAGGGGATTAAGAGAAGTTGCAGACCAAGCAGGGCGAGTATACAGGAAAGAGGCCCTAGACAAGTTGGGGGTTGGAGGTATGTGTCCAGCCACAGAAGAGTGATCCTTGAGGAGGAGGGACCCCTTCTCCTCTGGGACTATAATAAGGCTTAGAGAGGTGGGGAATTTTACACACAATTCTCCCCTGAAGACTAGAACCCTGAGTCATCTGCAGATCACGTTCCGTTTTAAGATGCATTTTTAGAAATATCTGTGGATAAAAAGACTTCCATTTCTCCAGATACGTTAGAATTTCTATTCCAATATCAAGATAAACCACCAGAGAATCCGGACTTTGACTACACAGTTCTGCCTGTTTTTAAAAAGTCCTTCTTTGGTATTATAAACTAGGCAAGGAAATAGAGTACATAAAAAAGGAGAGGTTAGACTGGAAAAAAAAAAAAAGTAGAAGAAGCCAAAACCAAAATCTCAGTGAATAAGCTCAGCAGGGAGGAAATGAGAGAAAAGAGAATCAGTGAGCTCAAAGAAAGCTCAATGGAGGGGTGCCTAGATGGCCCAGGTCATGATCTCGGGGTCCTGGGATAGAGGCCTGCATTGGGCTCCCTGCTCAATGGAGAGCCTCCTTCTCTCTCCCCTGCTTCCCCTGCTTGCACTCTAAAATATATATAAAATCTTAAAAAAAAAAAAAAATCAGTGGAAATTGATCAATCTGAGTAACAGAGAGAAAACAGACTGGATAAAGAAAAAAACGATTTGGGGTACCTAGGTGGCTCAGTTGGTTGGGCAACTGCCTTCAGCTCAGATCATGATCCTGGAGTCTCAGGATCAAGTCCCATATCAGGCTCCCAGCTCCATGGGGAGTCTGCTTCTCCTTCTGACCTTCTCCCCTTTCATGCTCTCTCTCATTGTCTCTCTCTTAAATAAATAAAAAATCTTTAAAAAAAAAAAAAAGATTTGAAGACGTTAACTGTTGAAAACTCCCCAAATTTGGCGTAAGACCTATATCTTCAGATTTAAAAAGATGAACAAATATTAAACAGGAGAACTCCAAAAATTCAATGCCAGAACACACTGTTATCAAACTGATGAATTCTCTAGACAAAAACACCTTGAAAGCCCTTGACACATGACGCAGCACAGGCAGGGGAACAATTGTTGAACAGCAGTAGGTTTCTCTTCTGAAACCATGGAGGACACAGGGAGGTCACATGTTTTTCTTATACTAAAAGAACTGTAAACCCCAAGTCTTTTATCCCACAAAAAACACCTGTAAGGAATGAAAGGGACAGAGAAACAATTTCAGATGCAAGAAAACAAAGTCCTTTGTCAACAGCAGACCTACCCCAGAAGAAAGGCTACAGTAAATTTGCCAAACCAAAGGGAGATGTTAACAGAAGGCCTGGGACCTCAAGAAGGGAGAAAGAAAATGGAATGGGTAACAGAGGTAAAGAGACCAGACTTTTCGTGAGTTTTCTAATAAATGTTGTGACAGCCCAAGCACAAATTATAACACCCAACATGGTGTTCAATGTATAAAGAAGAAATACTTATAATAATTATATTAAAAATGGAAAATGTAAAGGAACCTCATGGAATTTAGGTTTCTATACATCAAAGTGCTAAAATGCTAATAATATTAGATTGTGCTAACTTATGTACGTAAATACTTAGAATACAAAAATTAAGACAATACTCAAAAACATTATAGATAAATCAAATGGAATTCTAAAAAATGTTGAAGTAACCCACAGGAGGGCAAAACAGTAACAACAACAAAAAAACACAAAACAGAAAAGCAAAATAACAAGAACAACCAGAAAACAAATTGAATGATACAAAGGTAAACAAAACAAAACAAAAAAACAAAAAACAAAACAAAAACAAAAACAAATTAAAAAATGGTACACTTAAGCCTCAACATACCAATAATTATTTTCAATCTAACTGATGTAAATCTACTGATTAAAAGATAAAAAGCAGAAGGGATAAAAAAAGTTAAGACCCAACTATATGCTGTTACAAGAAACTTATTTCAAGTGTAATGATACAAATAAGGTTCAAAATAAAATTATGGAAAAATAAAAGCCATGCAAACATTAATCAAAACATGCAGTAGGGACTATATTAATATCAAAGTATGCTTCAAAGTCAAGAAAATGAACAGGGACAAAAAAGGGACATCACATAACGAAAGGGTCAACACACAAGATAATACACTAAGACTAAACGTGAATGCACCAAACAACAGAGCTTTAAAATACCTGAAGCAGAAAATGATTGAATCTATTTTTTTTTTTTTTTAGATTTTACTTATTTATTTGAGAGAGAGAGCATGGTCGCGAGCGCACACAAACAGAATGGCAGGCAGAAGGAAGAAGGAGAGGGAGAAGCAGGCTCCCCGCTGAGCAGGGAGCCTGACATGGGGCTCGATCCCAGGACCCTAAGATCATGACCACTTCATAAACACTTCAACAAATTTAAACAGATAGAACCAGAAATCAGTAACAAAAGATAACAAAAACACTCCCAACACTAGAAAACTAAACAATAATCCATGAACCCATTAAAGTGTCTAAAGAAATCAAGAGACACTAGAGCTGAATAAACTGTAATAAAAGCTTGTAGGATGCAGCTGTCACAGTATTGAGAAAACTTTATACTACCAATGCTAACACTAGAAAAGGAAAAAAAAAAAAAGTAAAATACAACCAAAGAAGCAGCTATAAAGATCAGAACAGAAATCGGCGAAATTATGAACAGCAATAGAGAAAAATCATTGAAGAGGCGCCCAGGTGGCTCAGTGGGTTAAGCCTCTGCCTTTGGCTCAGGTCATGATCTCAGGCTCCTGGGATTGAGCCCCACATCGGGCTCTCTGCTCGGCGGGGAGCCTGCTTCCTACTCCCTCTCTGCCTGCCTCTCTGCCTGTCTCTGATCTCTGTCAAATAAATAAAATCTTTAAAATTAAAAACTCGAAAAAGAAAAATCAGTGAATTAAAGTTCTGGTTCTCCAAAATGATTAGCAGAATTGGTAAATGTCTAAGAGGATGGACAAAGATAAAAAGAGAGTGGACAGATTTCCAAAATCAGGAATCAAATGGGATACAAGTACAGATATTGCTCCCACTAAAAGGGTAATAAGGAAATATTTCAAACAAGTCTATAAACTAATTTAGATGAAATGGAACAATTCCTTGAAATGGAACAATTCCTTGAAAAGGACAAACTTCAAACTATTCAATGTATCCAACATATAAATTATTCTGAATTCAAGAAATCAGAGGAAAACCTCAACAAAATATAATCAAAATGGAATGTTTTAATATAAAATATATATGAAAAATTCATACTCTACAACCAAATGGGATTTATTCCAAGGATGCAAGACTGGTTCAATATTCACAACCAGTCAGGCTACAGAAGAAAAATCATATGATCACATCAATTGATGGAGGCAAAGCATCTGAAAAAGTCTAACATTCATAACAAAAAAGACTCAGCAAATTAAGAACAGATGGGAATTTTCTAAACTTGTTAAGAAAAATTTGGGGAGGGGAAAAAAAAACCTCAGCTAACATCATACTTGATGAAAACTTGAACATTTTCCTCCTAATTTGAGGAATCAGTCAAGGGCATCCTTTCTTACTACTATTCAACGTCGGGTTACTTACCACACTGTAACCAGTGTAGTAAGAAAACAAAGTAACAGATATATAGATGGGAAGGAAGAAATAAAACTCTATATGCAGCTGACATGTCTTTGCAGAAAAGCCTGAGGATTCTACCCAAAGAAATGGCTACAAATAATGTGGGTTCACCATGGTTGCAGGATACCAAAGTATCACTCCAACAATTACCTTTCTGCATACTACTAAAGATCATAAGGAAAAATGAAAGTGTAAAAATCAATGCCATTTATGATCACACACACACACACACACACACACACACAACCCCCTAGATACAATTCTCAACAAAAATGTACAGAACCTGTACGGTGAAAAACTATAAAACAGTAGTGAAATACCAAGAATGACTTCAACAACTGAAATGTCATACCATGCACGGTGTTCATGATGCTGATTTTCAATAAACAGAGCTACAGATTTCAACCAATTCCTGTAGAAATCCAAGTAAGATTTTTTGGTATCCTAAGATTTATATGAAAAGTCAAAGGAATTAGGAAAGCTAAATCAATTTAAAAAAGGATAAAGAGAGCGGAATCACGTTACCCAATTCTGAGGGTTACCACACAGCTATAGAAATTAATTAAACAGATGGACCAAAAACAAGTCTGAAAAAAGTCTGTTTGGTGTTTAAAACCGAATAAAGAACAGTTTTCTAAAAATGTAAGCTTGAGAGTCTTAAATGGTGGAATAAAATGTGTTCTCACATGTGCATTTATCACTTTACTGCTTGTCTTCAATGGGCCAACCCTGCCGACACTGGGCAGCGATGTACGTGTACGTGACGCACACGGGGGCAAGGCCCACTGCATCTACAACGCTGCCCTGGCCCCACGTAAACATGTGAATCCATGACAAAGTGCTGTAAGCTGGGCAGAGAAGTCCCCAAAGTTTTTCGTTTCATTCGCTCCTCTACATCTCCACCTTCTTTTTATAAAAACTCCTGAGATAACACTGCAGTGAAGCAAAGGAGAAACATGCAGCTGAGGGTTTTACCTCGTGCACAAGAAACCCTGCTCTCTCCCTCACGGATGAATTCTCAGACACAGAATAAGGCTCTGGGCTCGGTCAATCTCTAAAATGTGTCTCTACTGGACTACCGACGGTCTGGGATGGAAGATTTCCTCACAGCGAAGATACTTGGCGGGTATCTCTCTGGTAGGTCCGATCTAATGCCGCGGTAGACGTTTCATCTGGCAAAAGGTTTTCCTCAGTGGTTACATTCAAGAAGTCTTTCCCCAAAAGGAGTTCTCGGAGGGTGACTGAGGACTGCCCGCTCGTGAAGGGTCTTCCCACTTCGGTTACACGGACAGGGTTTCTCCCAGTATGAATCCTCTGATGCTGAGTGAGGGACGAGCTGCGACTGAAGGCTTTTCCACACTCACTGCACTTATAGGGCTTCTCTCCGGTGTGGATGATGGCGTGTCGGATGAGGTTGGTGCTCCAGCAGAAGGATTTCCCACACTCCATGCATTCGTAGGGCTTCTCCCCACTGTGAATCCGCTGGTGCCTCGTGAGCCCTGACCGGCGGTTGAAGGCCTTCCCGCACTCTGAGCACTCGAAGGGCTTCTCCCCAGTGTGGATGCTGAAGTGTCGAATGAGGTCTTTCCTAGTGCTAAAGGCTTTCCCACATTCTTTGCACTCAAAGGGTTTTTCTCCAGTGTGGGCCCTTTTGTGCAAGATGAAAGTAGAGCAGTGGGTGAAGGCCCTTCCACACTCAGTGCACACAAACGGCTTCTCCCCAGTGTGGATCCTCTGGTGCCTCTTGAGGTACGACCTGTGGTTGAAGGCCTTCCCGCACTCCAGGCACTCAAAGGGCTTCTCCCCAGTGTGGATGAC